AGCACCGGGAGGCAAAGCCACTAACCGGAGGAGGGACAACTGTGCCCAGATAGGGAGAGCTGGGGGGAGGGACTCCCCAGAGGCACGGTCTCCAAGGAACCCGGGAGGGACCCACCAGAGTCTGCCCAGGCCTGTCCCCAAAGGCACAGGCATCCGGTGTGCTCCTCTCAGTCCTGGAGGGGTCAGAAACCCAGAAGGCAATAGGGGCAGGAGGAGAGTGAGGAGAGGAGCTAAACCGTATCCCCTCCCCAGCAGCAGGCCTGCGGAGCCACTGCTCAGGGCCTGGTCCACAGAGCAGGAATTTGGGGGTCATTGTTTGTATTACAAAAGGCTTTTCCATTTAGCCCAGAGCATTCACCTTTGAAGAAACATTAGCTTTCCTTTAAAGACAGACTTTCTATGGTGCATTTTGCTTATTTGGATTATTAATCTTTTATATATCACTATCTTATCACCCCAGCTGAAAATTGAGTCTGTGCTCACAGATACTGTACCTCATTCTCCTTCGGCCTCCCCATGAGACCCAATCACCAGAAATACCCAAGGATTTAGTGACTAATGTGCACACTTTTCAGGGATGCACCAATTATTGTCTAAAGTAAGGCACAGTCATAAGGAAGATCAACCCAGTCCATTTTCAGATTGCTCCAGCTGAGCAAACACACAAACCTTTCCTCTCCCTGCATTTCCAAGCAGTAGGAGGTACTAATAGAAACACCACCTTGTGTCTGTATAGCACTTTACAGTTTCAAAGCCACTCTCATAACACAAAATCACTCTCCACCCCCACATTCATCTCAAACCATTCTCTTCCCATTTCTACCGCACCAGCCTCTGCCGGAGTGAGGCCACATGCCCCCAACACCCCACTTGGGAGTCCATGTGTTAGATGAAGTGTTTCCTCATAAAGAGTCAGCCAGCCAGAAATGTGGGCAGAGAGCGAAGGGGAGCGTATTCAGGTTCTGTTTATTATGTTCTCACAGCCTTGTTTATAGTAAAGGTGAATGACATGATTCCACTTCGCATGGTAATGAGACAATTCAATAAGCACTCCATCAACCAAGTGGTTTATAGGGCAGATGAGCGATTACAAACCTGTTGCACATGCCACGTGACTCAGCTAATGCTACCGTGGTCGGAGTGCGTGCTGAGCCCAGCCACCTTTTCCACACCTGGCAGAGGAGAGGAAGCAGAAGGGTCAATGGGGAGTAAGAATCAAGAAGGATACAGTTTTTTGAGAGGACTGGACCCCAAACCTGGGAAGGCCATGGCCCCATCCTGGTCTGCCGTCTTGGTCCACAGAACCTCGTGGAGTCCCGAGAGGCCCAGGGACAGGAAGACATCTCTGCTCTTGGCTTCTTCCTGCACAGTCTCATGTTAACTAGCACAGTGGCACCGGCTCTCAACATCAGGGGCGACTCTGCCATCTCTCTTGCTTCTAACACGGAAGGATGCAGATTTAAAGAGGGCTGGCACTTGAGCGACTGAAGGACAGCCTTGGATGGAAAATCTTAACTCTTCTGTCTTGCTTGGAAATGGGCACAGACAGGGTCAGGGGAGCCGTGGGCAGACTCTTTGATGGGAGACCATCCTGCCTCTGAATGGGCCACCTGTCACCTCTCCCACCTGGCTCATGGAGAAGCACACATCACATTGGCTGCTTGTTTTGCACCCCACCCCCCAACTCCTTCCTCTTCCACCTTCCCCATTCCCACCTGCCCCCAGCGTTCAGCACAGGGAGTTCATGCCTTTTCCCTTACAGTCCAGGGCACAAAGCATCAGAACCCCCAGGCCTACTGAGGCCATTTCACAGCTTTGGTTTATTCAGAGCAGCAGTTCTGGGGAGAGCACCAGAGAACAGAATCAACTAGGAACTTTCCAGCTACCCCTCCAGCCTGAGACCAAAGAGGGAACCGGGAGGACTTGGAGCAGCAACTGAAACCCTGCTGTGGCCTTAGAAAAGAAAGCCTCAGAGAGCTTGATACTCCCAGGAGGTGACGCCCTCCCCTGAACATTTGGAAGTTCTCCTGCCACCACGATTATTACTACCACCCGTCGTTCATCCACTAGCTGAGTTCCAGCTACCATGTCTCGTGGCCTTGGGGATGGAGGCACAGCCTGACATGAAATGGCCCAACACAAGAGTGCATGAAAATGAACAAATGAGGGAGGCAGCGGGGAAGGCAAGCTTGGAGGAAGCACTGAGAACAAGCTTGGGAGGCATGGCCAAACCTCTCTCAATCAAGACGCCTTCAGCTCCCCACCCTGGCACACCCCCTGCCCAACAATGCAGGTGGCTGGGGCAGGAACATTTCTCTGCCAGAGGAGCAAGTCAGACTGAGGGGGCACAGAGGCAGCCACCCCAAGAGTCAGACTCAGGACTGGCAGCTTCCTGGGTGTTGTGCCAGCTCACGTCCCCCGCCCTCTTTGCCCACACCTCTGAGCCTCACACAGGGGCAGCTGTATTCCTCACGCCTCTGGCCAGTGCTTCCTAACCTCAGCTGTCCGCTGGAATCACCTATGTTGCTTCAAAAATACTGGGTCCCAGTCAAGCTATTCTTGGGTAGGTCCTGGACATTGGGGTTTTTTAACCTCCCCAAGTGATTCCAGTGAATAGCCAAGGGTAAGAACCATTCTTAGACCACTGTCTCTGTCTTTTTTCAAAGTACAGTCCACAGGCCACTACACACCTGGGGGATTTATTAAAAATGCAGCTTTCTGGGTCCCACCCCAGGTCTATTGGGTTGACATCTCCGGTTATGGTACCTGGGAATTAGCACTGGCACCGGGCTTTCCCGGTGATCTCTGGGCATGCTCTAGGTTAATAATGAACAGCTCTCAGAGGATCTTTCCTCAG